TGGTTCGAAAAGTCGTCGCAGTGGCCAAAAAATTCCATTGAGCAAATATTGAAAAATGAGCTCGGGTAAAGCCATTGAAATTCCAAAAAGTGCAAGAACTTACACCGCTACAGAAAGAAAATAGACTCAAAAGAGCTAAAAAGTTGCTTCGCTTGGCCGAAAGTGATGAACTGCCGAATTTGGTTTTCTCCGATGAGAAAACATTCCTTGTCCAGCAGTTTGTAAACAAACCAAATGATCGTGTTTACTTGCCAAAGAGGTTAGCTGAAAATGTGAACTTTCAGTTGGTCACCAGAACTCAAGCCTCAAGCCGGCCATTGTGTGGGCCGCCATAACAGCCGATGGTTGCTCTCCGCTCGTATTAATCGACCGAGCATTAGAATAAATACCGAATAATATCGCCAAAATATTCTGGAGGGTGTATTAAAGCCTGGAGCGCGCAAACATTTTGACCGCAGGACTCAGTACCATCGCAACAGCGCACAATGGTCAACAAAATCTTCAGAAGTCAATCCGTTGGACTATTGTGTCTGGAGTATTTTGGAAAGCAAGGTTTTCACTAAAAAATACCCAAGTGTCGATCACCTCAAGCAAGCGCTTCGCGCGGGAATAGATCACAATACCGCAGAGAAACAGCGGGCAGCGTGTGACGGTGATCGTTTCATTGGCCGTTTGAAGGCCATAATTCGTGCCAAAGTTGACCAATTCGAACAAACCTAAACTTATTCTAAAATTTGATGCTATTTCCGACAGTTTTTGCTTTCATTCAATAAAATTTAAAAAAAAATGTAAAAATTATGGCCATATGGCTGAGGGTATAAAAATCTAAATTTCATATTTAATAGTTCAAATATCATCAGTCTCTGATAAAATGTTTGAACTTTTATTTTGCTATTAAAATCAAGCATACCATAACATTTAATATCTTAGCGATTTCAAAATTTTACTATTGAATTTTATTTGAGACATTACCACAATCAAAACCAATATCATGCTGCACTTGATTATTGAACATAAATTAGTATTAAAGATATGACAAGAAATTGTTTTAGATAAGCAAAAACGAGTCGTAAACAGAAAGACGTAACAGCTCTTATCAAATAGTGGAAATAATCTCAACAATTATAAAATTGGGTTTTTCAATATCATGGCAATGAAAACCGTAATTACAATTACTAAACAATAAATTACTGTACTGGAAATAATTAGTTATTGAATAAGTTTTTTTGTTCAACGTTTTAAAATTGAATTTCGTGATGAACTTTAAAAGGCAGGAATTTCAGTTTGAATTTTTTCTTTTGGTTTTTTTTTTCTCCCAAAGAGAAATTTCCATTTACAAATATTTACATCGTTAAATATTCAAATACAGACATGTTTTTATTGGTGGTGCAAATTTTGCAATGTTATTTGCGCTTTTTCGCAAGTATTTTACCAGTTCTTATCGTTTATACGCCTAATAAAGCAAACGAATAAATATAACCAAAAACCCAACAAAAGCATTTGTTGCTTTTTTGGCAATTATATGAACGAGCATGTTATGCCATTCCGATTCTGACATAAATCTCAAATTCAACAAGTAAAAAAGTATCAGTCGATTTTGCCCCCAGATGTATGCCCTCAGCCAATGTTTAGCCTCTATGGAGTAGGTTCCCAAGGAATGGGCCAATATTGTCAATTTCGTATCGGACCTAAATAAATATGATAAAAATATTGCGGCGTGCCATATTCAGACTATATCGACTGCTTCCTTCACTTTATATGAGATAGGTGATAATTTTTAGAAAAGTTTAAAATGTGCGTGATTTACCAGATATAGTTGACCCAAGTATTCCATTTTCATACTTCATCTAATACAGATAAAAATATTGATATGGGCAAAATGACAAGAAAATCGAATATTTATATCCAATTTTAGGCGAAACCATAAATTTCATATTTATTTTATATTCATTTTAGGTTTCTGGTTGAGAAAAATATTTAGATAAAACCATTTGTAAAGAATCGCTGACCTGTTTCGCAAGTAATGACAGATAAAAGTATTGAAAATTGTGACCCTTTGTGGGTGAGGTATCAGAAGAGGGGATCTGCAGGTATATATCATCTTCGCAACAGAGCTTGTGTTAGCAAAAATGTTTGTATGCGTGAAATTTGAAGATAGTTGGATGCTTATTTTGTTTTTTGAGCATTTTCTTTTTCAAAATATTAAACCCTATGTGGGGGAGGTACCAGAATAAATGGTTCAAACTCTAACATCTTTATAACAGATCTTGTGTTGATGGAAATATTGAGATGTACCAAGTCTGAATGGAATCGGATATTAATTTCGCGTTTTACGAGCTTCATAGATATTCAAAATTTTGACCCTTTGCGGGGGAGGTACCAGAAGGAATGGTCCGATTTCTACCATCTTCAGAGCAGATGTTGTGTTAGTAGAAATAATGGGATGTGTGAAATATGAAGAGAACCGAAAGCTTATTTCGGATTTTATGATCGACTTGCTTATTCTAACCTTTAACCCTTTGTGGGGAGGTACCAGAAGGAATAATCCGATCTCTACCATCTTTATAACAGATCTCGTGTTGATGGAAATATTGAGATGTACCAAGTCTGAATAGATTCAAAAGACAATTTAATTTTATGAGCTTTATGGATATTCAAAATTTTAAACCTTTGTGGGGGAGGTACCAGAAGGAATGGTCCGATCTCTACCATCTTCAGAGCAGATGTTGTGTTAGTAGAAATAATGGGATGTGTGAAATATGAAGAGAACCGAATGCTTATTTAGGATTTTATGATCGATTTGGTTATTCCAAGCTTCAACCCTTTGTGTGGGAGGTACCAGAAGGAATGGGCCGATCTCTACCATGTTTATAACAGATCTTGTGTAGATGGAAATATTGAGATGTACCAAGTCTAAATAGATTCGAAAGACAATTTAATTTTATTAACTTTATGGATATTCAAAATTTTAACCCTTTGTGGGGGCGGGTACCAGAAGGAATGGTCCGATCTCTACCATCTTTAGAGCAAATCTTTTCTTAGTAGAAATAATATGATGTGTGAAATATGAAGAGAACTGAATGCTTATTTCGGATTTTATAATCGATTTGGTTTTTCCAACCTTCGACCCTTTGTAGGGGAGGTACCAGAAGGAATTGACCGATCTCTACCAGCTTTATAACAGATCTTGCTTAGATGGAAATATTGAGGTGTACCAAGTCTCAATGGAATCGGATGTCGATTTCGTGTTTTATGAGCTTCAGGGATTTTCAAAAATTTTGACCACTTGTGGGGGGAGTACCAGAAGGATGGGGACCAATATATTCAATCTTCTCACTAGACCTTGGCTTATTAAAAATATTGAGATGTGTGTAATCTGAAGACAATCGGAAAATTACATCACATTTTATAAGAGTTATGATTATTCCAAATGTTTACCCTTTGTGGGGGAGGTACTTGATGGAGTGGACCGATGTTTTCCATTTTCGTACCGAACCTAGAACTGATGCAAATATTAGGATTTGCAAAGTTGGAGCAAAATTAGATTATCCTTTCTCTTTCTGTGCAGTAAATTATTATTTTTGAAAATGTTGAAGTTTTTTGAGGGAGGTACCAGAAGGAGTTGACAGATATTGTCCATCTCCTAACTCGATCTAAGTTTGATATTAATATTACGATGTACCGAGTTTCGATCAAATCGGATACTCCCTTCGAGAGTAATCGTGCGCACTAGAGAGACGGACGGACACTGCGAAATTGACTCAAAATGTCATGAAACGGATTTGGTCGAAAAAGACCTAGGATCTAAAACCGTTATTTCGATGAGGCACGTTTTGGCCGTATCAAATGGTATATACCCTTTGTAGCCATATGACTGAGGGTATAAACATTTTCGGAGACCCAGATAGCCAAAAATCCACATCCTTTTAAAATGTGCAAAAAATTACCCCAAAATAAAGTTTTCAAGGGTGGTCCATCACCAATAGTTCCCTGTCTGACGAAATTTTAGGACCACAACAAAACACAATCTTCTCCACCACAGCAAAATTGTATCATAAAATTTCAAAATATTTGCTCAACAGTGTAATTACATGTTTAACGTTATTTCCTAACCCTGATAGTGACACAGCGAGAAAGAGTACCCATGAACGTAATTAATCTACCCGGAAAATTGTACGTACTCACATGATCTCTTTAAAAAAAAATTAAAACTAACATGGACGCGCAGTGACAAGACAAGACAAATTTATGACTGCCATCCATCAGAATCGCAATGAAAAGAAAAAAGTATAAAACAATAAGAAAACACACAAAAATTAACAAACGATTAGACCGTGAGAGTAGTAAGATATGCACAATGTGATATGTGTATAATAGGTATGAGAGTGTGTGGTGTTTATATTGGCGCAACCTTAAAGATAAATCTCCTGACAACAAGAAAACCGAAATAAACCAAACCAAAATATCTATGAATGAATGAATGACAATTATTGTTTGCTAGCGACAGACAGACAAACAAACTGTCCACACGAATGGTTGGTTGTTTGCTTTTTGATTATTGGATAGCAAGTGGTGGCCTTCTTTTTTTCTTGCATTTTGGACTTGACGATAATTTTTAATTTAACAATAATTGATAATTACACCATTGCTTGCAAATCGAAGAAAGCTCCGCACCACAAGGCAGTCGCCAAAACATATGTTGGAGCAAAAACTTGTGGGAGGCAAAACGTATGGACGATTGGTATATGATGATTCATATGGCGGCGACTACTCATTCCTCAACAACAACAACAACAGAATAACACATTTATATACACATATATGGTGCATAACGTGTAAAAATATGCGAATGGCAAAGTACTATGTCGTCACCAACCAGCCAGTCAGTCAAGCTGTCCATCATAAATTAAACTAGAAAAATGTTAAACAAACCCAGTTAGTATCCGGGCAAAATTAGCAACAACTCCTCCATCATCATTATCGTCATAAGACAATTTTACCTCGTTTTGCTGCGGCGTGATTTCCTTGTGTGTGTATATGTGTCTGCTTGTCTCAACAAACACAAAAATTTTATGAATTTCTTTAATTTCAATTAACAAGATAACACTTCATTTTTTTCATACATTTTTTGGTTACGTATAATTTTTGCTTCACCATTTTTTTGATTCGTTTCGTTTTTTTTCTTCTTTCACATCAACGACGACGTCAAACTTTCCTTCTTCTGTTATATATAAGTATGTTTCACAAGCAAAAGCATGAGGATGAAAAATTTTTTTTTTATTCTAATTCTGTTCTCTCATAACTTGACCGTTAAAATCACAATACTTTTGACATTTGCACTTATACACATTAGCAATCATTGCTTTTATTTGCTAGAACTTTTTCGTCGTGGGTTTTATTCATTAACATTGAGTTAAAATGTAATTTATTTGGATAATCTTTCTTTTTTTCCTTCGAATCAATGCGAAAATACAAGTACGATACGATGTGAGTGTGCAGAAAAAAGTCAACATACACATACAAAAATGTCAAACGTAGGGCTTTGTAGGTCGTTTTGCGAAAAATCGATTCATCGACTTTTTGTGGTGGCATTAATCGAACACATCGAAACTAGTAAATTTTAGAATGCAATTCCAATATTAAAGGTTAGTTTATTTTAAAGAAATGGCTATGAATTGGCTATGAATCAGCGGGTTTAAGGAAAATAATACATGTTCCAATATATTAAGAAATGTAAATGAAAATTTTTTACTAAGCCAGTCAGATAAGCGTTGTATGTATTCCCACCTTAATAGAGCCTTAAACAAGGCAGATCTATGAGGTAGTCGCATCAACAATTTGTCCATTATAGAAGAAGTAGATGCATCAACGCTTGGGAACATTGATATGTCAAAATTTGCAAAATGTTATGTCAAAAATAAATAGATTTTTTTTACATTTTCTTATACGACTTAAATCGGAGGTTGGTATAAAATGTATTTTTTAACAATTTTTACACACTTCAATAATTTTTCATTCAAAATTTTCAAGTTCAAAATCACTTTGACAGTTCATTGTCCCAGCAGCTGTGTCGATGCGACTACCTGTATTCTTCTACCATGAATTTGTCACAAAAACTGTGTTGGTACCATGGTAGAAGAATATAGGTAGACGCATCGACACAGCTGCTGGGACAATGTACTGTCAAACCAATTTTGGAATTGAAAATGTTGAATGAAAAATTATTTAAATTTGTAAAAATTGTTAAAAATCTCCAATTATAATAACCTCCGAATGACGTCGTATAAGAAAACATTTAAAATCTACTCATCTTTCAAAAAACATTTAAAATTTTTTGACATATCAATGCTCCTAAGCGTTGATGCGTCTACCTGTATTCTTCTGCCATGGTTGGTACCATTAAAAGACATTTTTTCAAAATAATTCTGTTTAAAAACTTCTTTTTAATATGGTATTTTTCAAAATTTAATATTCATCAGCAATTTTTCACTCATAATTTTGGTTTTCATTTTTAATTCCAACTAATTTTGACATATCATGATGCCATCAGCTGTTTTCATACGACTACCAAGTAACCTGCCTTCGTCGTGTTTATTTTTGTTTGGTTGTGCTTTCCCAAAGTCTTTATCGTTCATTTTCTTTTGATATTGTCACAAAAAAAACTGAATTGAAAACGTTGTGTGGAAAAGGAGGTTCAGGAAAATATGCTTTTGCGGCTGGGCAGATGTGTCTGGCAAACACAGCTAAGGTAAAAGACAACCGAATCTATTAAATAATTTTTACCAGAATTGATAAAAATCGTTCATTTCATTCAGGGATAGCTCTATACAATTTGGACGAGATACAAGCAATCGATTGTTATTGCATCATGTTGGTCGCTCGACGGAGGCACGGACAGCTCCCGTTTTTCGTCAAATACGCACATCCGTACAATCTAAAAATCCATCTCGTCCCGTCATTCAACCATTAGGTGAAGTTGGAGGTGGACATGTGCCATCGGAAAATGTTTTCAAAGCACTGATATTTACGGGAGCGGTAGGTGGTCGACAGCGCGTTTGTCCAGGGAGTTTTACTTTGACACGTCTCTATTTTAGTTTAGTATTGGAGCTTTTGCTGGGGCAACGGTAATGGAATATGAGAATACCCGTAATATGATGTTGGAGAAAGCGAGACAGGCAAAATTGGGTTGGATCCGAAGAAAACCAAGCGAAGAAGATCCATGGGAAAGTATTAAACGCGATATCAAACGTCTGTGGGAACGTTTGTCGCCGGGTGAAAAAATCTTTGCTCCCATTTGTGCTGCCAATGTAGTGGTGTTCGGCCTGTGGCGTGTGCCTGCTTTAAGAGCAACCATGATGAAATATTTTTGCTCAAATCCGGCAGCAAGTAAGAAAAATTGTACGATTTGTTGTGAAGCTCTCCTTAACATATTGGTTTTTGTTAATTGCAGAAGCGGTATGTTGGCCCATGTTCCTATCAACTTTTAGTCATTATTCGGCCTTTCACTTATTTGCCAATATGTATGTGCTGCACAGTTTTTCCAATTTGGCTGTGTTATCGCTGGGAAAGGAGCAATTTTTGGCTGTGTATTTGAGTGCGGGTGTCATAGCAAGTTTGGCAAGTGTTTTATATAAAGCCCTGACAGTACAAGCTGGTCTCTCTATTGGAGCGGTAAATCATTTAGCTACTCTGCAAATCAATTCTCTACAACTGTTTTATGATTTCAGTCCGGTGCCATAATGGCAGTATTGGCATATGTCTGCGCCCAATATCCCGACACCCAACTGAGTATATTATTTTTACCAATGGTAACTTTTTCGGCTGGAACGGCCATTAAAGTAATTATGGGTATAGATTTGGCTGGTTGCATAATGGGTTGGAAATTCTTTGATCATGCTGCTCATTTAGGTGGAGCTATATTTGGACTGTAAGTGGAGCGGGCCTTTAAGATGGCTTGAGGTTTATGTTTCAACTATCAAATATAAATAATGTTCTTTATTTCCATTCTTTTAGATTTTGGACATATTATGGAGCAGAACTTTGGCAAAAACGTGTTCCTCTGTTGACCATGTATCACGATTGGCGAAAAACGAAATAGATACTGTGCTAAATTGACAAAGAAATCGGATACCTATCACATTAGTGCAAATACAAAAACACAAACAAAATATAATAATATGTACATAAATATATTAGAATATATTTTTATGGAAATAAAAATAGTATTTTATAAAATGTTCTCAACAGCCAGAGTTTCCATAAATTATATACTTAGGTAACAAAAAATAAGTTAAACTATTCCCAAAATTCAGTAGCTATTGTTATTTGTCTTCCCCGTTCTCTTCCGTCTTCATCATTTTACATTGTTTATCATTTACTTTTAAGCGGTACTGCACCTCAGCCATTCTGTGATTGAGTTTTTCTCTTAACTCCTCTACAGTCTCATATTCTGGAGCATAGGATATATGTAAGATGCCACCATAAAATTCCTTAGCATCTAAAAACTTTTTTGCTTTGCGAGCATTGAATATTTTCTTGAATTTTATCCAAAATACTTCAGTAAATGCTTCCAATTCGGCCCCCTGATCCAGAAGTTCCTGTGTAACATTACGCACATGACAGAGTTCACCAAATCTACGAAAACTATGTTTCAATTCATTGTGCAGATTAATTTTGGGAACACCAAAGCAAAGCAAATGCAGCGATTCATTGGCCACCGTATAGACCTGAAAGAATCCTGATAAATAACAGAACTTTTAGAGATATGTGTGTTCTTGCCTTAACAGCTTTTAGTTCTCGTCCTTGCCTATATTGCAGTCTAGTTGTACAGTATTTGAATTGCTTGTGATGGGCAATATTGTCGCTACTCATGTTATGATGGACACCGATCTTTCAAACAATTTGTTCCAAGATAAACTCATCTGCTATTGGAGACAAAATAAAACTGCTGGAGAACATTAACTACTCCATCTAAGTTGCACAAATAAATGTATTTATAGGTCTTTAAGGGACATAATGTGACATCTTCCATAGGTTTTCTTGGATTTCTTTGAGCGAAAGACACCTGCTGTCCAGCTGTGTTTGTGCAAGTATGTGGAAATCAAAACAAACAAATTAGTCAGAGTTGCATTATTTGTGGATGTTGATAAAGAGTGGTCGATGACAACAGAGGTGTATTATTATCTTAAGTACTAGCCATGGTAAAAGAATTCAGGTAGTCGCATAGACACAGCTGTTCGCACAATGAACTGTCAAACCGATTTCGGAATTGAAAAAAACGAATGAAAAATGATTTAAATTTGTAAAAATTGTTGAAAAATAAATACCATAATAATCTCCGATTTGCGTCGCATAGAAAAACATATAAAAATCTACTACAACAAAATATTTTAAAATTTTTGACATATCAATGTTCCCCAGCGTCAATGCATCTAAATATATTCTTCTACCATGAGTACTAGCCATTGGTCTGTTCCTGCACGAAAATACTAGTTTTGCAATTTCTACGATATTATAAAGGGAAAATCGGTTATCGTGGTAAAAGCTTTTACATTCTTGAAATTTTGGAACAGACCACGTGGTAGAAGGTCGCATAGACACAGCTGCTGGCACAATGAACTGTCAAACCGATTTAGGAATTGAAAAAGTTGAATAAAAAATTATTTAAATCTGTAAAAATTGTTGAAAAATAAATACCATAATAACCTCTGATTTGCATCGTATAGGAAAACATATAAAAATCTACTACAACAAAATATTTTAAAATTGTTGACATATCAATGTTCCCCAGCGTTAATACATCTACCTATATTCTTCTACCATGAGTACTAGCCATTGGTCTGTTCCTGCACGAATCTACTAGTTTTGCAATTTTCTACGATATTATGAAAGGAAAATCGGTTATCGTGGTAAAAAATTTTACATTCTTGAAGTTTTGGAAAAGAACATTGTAGAAGGTCGCATAGATACAGCTGCTGGCACAATGAACTGTCAAAACAATTTTGAAATTAAAAATTTTGATTGAAAAATTTTTAAAATTTGTAAAAACTGTTGAAAATGCATATCCGATTGAAGTCGTATAAGGAAAACTACAAAAAACTACATATTTTTGAAGAAACATTTTAAATTTTTTGACATATCAATGTTCCCAAGCGTTGATGCATCTATCTATATTCTAGCATGGCACAATCCATGGCGCAATAACAAGGTGTTCCTGCAAATTTGAAAAACCAGATGAGATGTCAAAATTTGTTTACAAATTTTTGGCTATTTGTTTATATTTTGTTCTGTGATTTCAATCACAATAATGGAATTTGACATTCCATTTGGTAGGTAGCTGGCTTGGCAGGGGGACTATATACTTGGGTACTACAGATATTTTATTTATCGCGACTAACCATTTACCGGATTTGTTAAAACACTCATTGTGATTGGAATCACATTACGATTGAAGATGGCAAATGTTAAACATTTTTGACATATCATTAGATTTTAAAGGGAGTAAAATAATTTGTTAAAAATGTGTATACCTTTAGCATATAAAAGTGGAATTAAATCATAGAAAGATCATATCGAAAATGACCATAGAATAAAGGTGGGAATCTTTATGCTAATTTGGCTGGCAAAGCAAAACCCAGTTAATTTAACTCTATAGTTAAGGTGAGAATACATAAAACGATTTTTTTGACAGGGTTAAGTCATCGGCTGGCTCATTCGTAAAAAATAACAAAAGAGCGTAGGGTCAAAATCGAACTAAGTCAACCTAAGATTCCTTTATTCTTTTTCGAAGAAGCCAGCCGAAAAATCAAAATCGTTTTATGTATTCTCACCTTAAGTTTCAAAAGGAATTGAAAATATTCAAAATTATTTTTCAAATTTAATCAATCTACAGTGCCTTGTGATTATTGTAAAAACTTTTACTAAATTGCAGATTATGGACTATGGTATATTTATTACAAGGCAGCAAAGAAGTTGGACAAACTTAGAAACAAATTGTAATCAGCTGGTACCTTATGTGGCGTTTCCACTGCACTTGATTCGCTCTCTATTCGTTGTTTGACCCTTAACTATGAAAAAACTACCTAATTCTTCACACAAAATTTCCTGAGCGAACACTCATATTTGTAGGTTGTTCAAATCAAATCACTCTCCGAACAACGAAAAATATGTCCCACCCCTAACAAATGAGAGCATTTATCGAAAAAATAAATTATGACATTCAAAAATTAAAAAATAGAAAAATTTGATGAAATTTTAAAATTTTTTGGGAAGATTGAAAATTATGAATGAAAACTACAATGTTGAATGGCGTATGTACATTCAAACGTAAGTAAATTTTATTTTCTCTCTCATTCGAGGTACGCATTTTGTCCACGAGTTAAAATTTCCACAGAAAACGCAAACAAAAGAGGCAACATTTTCAAAATGTTTCTATCGTCAGATAAAATGTTTGACAAGTGTCTCTCCAGCAGAATTTAAAAATGGAAAAACACAAAAATGTGTTCAAAATGTCAACATTTACACAAAAAGTGTTGCAGGCCGTTCACATGCGGCGCAAAAAGGCAACAAATATATGGGGCCGTGTTTTTTGGCAAAACCTGTCCACAACCACCGCAGAAATTATCCCAATTCTGTTGGTAGTGCATCCCATAATTGGTCCTCAAATGGATTTGCTCAGTTTTCCTGGGTTTTTAGTGAGGATGGTGAGGATGCTTCGAGATTTCAATTTGCTTGTAATTTCTGCGGGGTGTGTAGTCCGGGTGGCGATGGGATCAAAATGCCGGAAATGGTTTGTTAGGGTTCGCTACGTACGAAATTAGGCTCGAACAGGGTTGAGTAAAAGAGTATTATAAAGGTAGTAAATGACAGGGTGACTCAGGCTAAGAAGTGACTAGGCAGCCCTATGATTGCTGAGTAGGTGGGAACCTACTATAAATATGATAAAAATTTTGTTTAGACACAATTTGAATGAATGATTATGAAAAAAAAAAGCGGCACGTTGAAATAAAAATTTAAGAAATATCAGAAGAATAGAAAAACAAAAGATTTCGAGAGAAATAATTAAAATGTTTTTGCTGATGTCTCGCTGCCGTATAAGGTTAAAGGAAATTGGCGTTGTTTGGGGTAATTGGCGAGTTGGTAACGTAAGTGAAAAGGGTTGGGCGAATAGTTAGACAGCCGTTGATTTTTAAATGAGAGACTCAGGGGTGAGGTGAAATGAGAATTCACAATAAAAAAAAAAATGGCTATTGACAGTTGAAAAGAAAAAGGAATGAAAATTGAAAATGGTTCAGGAAAATGGTGTTTCGTGGAAAATGAGCGTCTGGCGGGATTCACTGAGAAGAGGGGTATAAAAGGCTGCGAGCATAAGAAAAGCCAAAGTTGAGAATAAGACGTTACCGGTGAAACTTAGCTAGAGAGCAGTGAAGAAGTGGAAAAATTTAATTTGTGTGTTGCGATTTTTTTTTATTGTGTAAGTAGTTTGTAACAGTGGTTTGTTGAGTATTGTGTTGTTATATGTGATGTGTGTTGCTCCAACAGGAATATTCCGGTGGTGTATCAAGCCTTTTTTGGAAGCACCGAAAATTGTCCGGTTTTGGTCAGCACAACGGCGGGAAATTGCCTTTTCTTTTTGGTAACGCAAGGTAGTGGCAAGTTGTCCACAGGAAAAAAAAGCCAAAAAAGTTACATTGAGGGTGTGGAGATTTGAATTGTAAACTGGCCAGCTGCAACTTTGAGCTTTTTGCTGTGCCGGTTATTGATCCCGCCCAGAACGCCGGCATTGTAAAAGGACCAGTCAACAAGTCCAGCTTCATTTGAGGGTTTGCCTGGCGTTCAAAATCTGTTTCCTCCGGAAAGAAGCGTAAACTGGAAGGAGAGATAAGAAGAATTAATCAATAACGTTATAAATCACTGCTCAGGTAAAAGGTGTCTTACCGTTGTGTTGTCCTTGACATATATATTTATATATATGTGACGTCCATAAAATTTGCTGTCTCCTTTTTTGGAACTAAAAGAAAAGAAAAAAAAAAGAGTTAATAATCATAAATTTCGAGAAAAAAAAAATATAATATTCAGTATAAAGATTTAGTAATAAGATAGGTTATAGTTCTTAGGATTTAAGTAATAATCAGTTTGTAAGGGAAAAATACCGCGTTTATTTTCAAAGGCTAGGAGGTGTTACAGTAAAATTATCTTGAGTCCTTGTGATTCGATCTGATAGTTTAGGCCGTGGAATTTTAGCGGCAATTAGGCCGGTTAAGAGAGCTCTTTTAGGTGGCTAGTAATTTCGTATAGACGCGGAATATTGCGCGGGAAAAGCAAGGCAAAGGATAATATATTGGTTTCTACCGAGTAATTAAAGCCATAGATTTAAGAAAGCCCGGTATTATTCTTAATTTGTTTTTTTTTTATACCATACAGTTTGTCAATTTTAATGTAAGAAAAAAAATAGTAGAGAAAAAAATTAAGAAAATATTTAAAGCTAACTTATTTTTTTTAATAAAATTAAAAATGATTCTTTTGTAAACAGTAGATACTAATATGTGTTGCTAAGTTTGTATAGCTTGGGGGGAAGGTGGTATGAAGTAAGTGTGTGATTCGAAGCGTGTGGTTCAAGGGGATTCAGAGAAACGCAAGAAATGGAAATACTGGATCCAGGTAGGGTGGGCGAGTGTGGGATCGATCCGCCGAGATCCCTGTATGATGACTCCTATTTTGTATATCGTAGAGTAGAGCAATTGTAGTAAAGTCCCCTTTCAATGTTAGTGTGTTGGATTCGATTGGCGGGTTGAGATCCCTAGCCCTGGGAGTCTCTGTGACAGTCGGATGGCCTAATCGTATGCCGAGCAAATGCACACATAACAGAGATGGCGCCCAATATTCTAAAAAAAGCTTTATTGTACCTGATACCACTGTAAAAAAATGGCGACTCAAACATGGCCGTGTTAAACTGTGATATTAGGTTAGTAACTCTGTGCAGTAACATCGACGCACACAGCCATAGAATGCTAGTAGATTTTAAATAGACAAAAGAAAATGTTTTTGACAAATAATATTCTGTGATATTAGTATGCATCCGAACTTTAGAGAGATGGGTTACGAAGTGCGATATTACTATATCAAATATATTATGGGAACGTTTTCTCCACTGTTCTAAGTAGGGTGTAATCAATAGCTTGTAATTCCGAGCTGGAATAAAACAATTTGTATTGAGAATCCTACTGTTAAAATTTGTTTTTGTGAAATAACCCAAATAAATTATAGACAGGAATAAGTACATCGAGTAGCAGCAATAGCGATTTTGATCTGAGAGATGCAAAAATCTTAGTATTGCATATAAAAACCCTGAGCTTTCATTTATGAAATGTAATAGATATGTCATGGGTCCGAAGTTAACAAAGCACTATAATTTATGAGAAGTATAAGAATGTCTAAGGGAAAAGTCATACACCTCATAAAGGGCACTAAAATTATTATTAAAAAAAAAAAAAAAAAAAAAAAAAAAAAAAATAATAATAATAATAAAAAATAAATAAATAAAAAAAAACCACACACACACTGCTTCTGAAAATTACACTTCCCCCGTAGATCTATGTTGTAATTATCAAATTTGAAAATTTGTATGTGTAATTGTAATTGAATGTATTTATAAAAAGTATTTGTGTTGCAAATGTTTCATATTTAAAAAAAAAAGGTTAACTGAATTTAAAACTTACTTACAAGAAAAGGTTTCGTCCGAGATTCAATTGATAACAAATGAGAAGATAAATTTTGGGTATAGGTCATGATCTACAATACCCGCAATAGTAAAAGAAATAAGAGAGACAGACCCGAAAATTTTGACCTAAACCGATCGACTTATTTTCCAGAGCAGAGTAAGCAAAGACGAATAGGGTCGGACGAAATGGCGAATGAGGATAGGAACATGAGTGCTTTGCAATTTATCGATCTAGCAGACACGATAATGCGAAGAGATCAGAACACCAATCATGTGCCAACAGTGAGTGATAATTTGAATAATAATGGTCCAACTACTTCCGACTTACATGGACTAGTACAAGATGAAGCAGCGTCTGTCCAGAAGTCATTGGAAGATAAAGTTAAAAAAATGGTCGAAACAGAAATATCTGATATGAAGAAAATGATAGATTCTTTATCAAAAGGCATGAGAGAACTATCCGACACTGTGCGTAAACAATTAATTGTACCCCCAACGGCTACGGTAGCCTCTAATTCTATTACAAATAGTAATGCTAATCCGACGTCAAACAATAATAATGACGCAGTAAATAGGAATATGCCACCAATTATCCAATTTCCGAGTGCTAGTCAAACTCCATTATCAGATCAATTTACTGGCCCGATAACGAATACGTTTAGAGTGGAACCACTAGGAATACGAGTTGATAAACTTGGTTTAAATTTCAGTGGTGACCCGAAAGGCTTAAGAGTTATGGATTTTATTAAGCGGTTAGAGATCATGCAGGCTCAATATAATATTCCATGGTCTGAAGTGTTGAGGGATTTCGCCTTTCTGGTTTCTGGTCAAGCCAGAGAATGGTATTGGCTGCATAGACAAAGTAATGTTTACACCGATTGGGTGGGTCTTAAAGAAGCGCTGATAAGCCAGTATCAAACCCCACAATCCAAATTCGACATACTCAGGGATTTGTTAGAAAGGAAACAAAGGCCAAATGAAAGCATCAATAGTTATTTTCACGAGATGGGAATTTTGCGATCTAGATTACTTCAACCTATTTACGAGTACGAAATGATTAAGATCCTAAGGGGAAATATACGTGAAGATATAAAACGACATGTATATCAGATGACCATTTCGTCGGTTGAACAGCTACGAATAGAATGTATTGAAGCTGAGAGAAATTTCCCTAGGCGCGAAAATAGAGCTGTAACGTTCCCCCAGCGACCTATCCGCCAAGTAAATGAAATATATGATGAAATTTATGAAAAGCATGTAGAAGTACCGGAGGAGAATATTGGTGAAGAGCTGTCAGCTATCCGGATACAAAGCCACATTAGAGTTCCAATTATCTGCTGGAACTGTCGAGAAAAGGGGCATGTTTTTATGGACTGTCCAGTAGAAGTCCGGAAATTGTTCTGCTATAGGTGTGGGAAGCCGGACACAGTAACCCCAAAGTGTCCTGTCTGTCAACAGGGAAACTCCCGAAGGGGTGTGGAAGTGACAGGGGAAACACACCCGTCAGAGAACCCTGTGAATCGGAAGAATTAGCACCCAAAAACGTCCGAATTTTAATAAAAAACAACGATAATATATTTAGAGATAAGAGTAGTGTAGAATCGAAAATTTTTTCTGCAGGTCAGAGGCATTACATTCCATTAGAAAATCGCCAAAGAAATTATGCTAAGGTCAAGGAGAGAATTTTTAACTCAGAGTTTACTGTAATCCCGAAAAAAATTATTGAATTGAGACAAAAATCCAAGAAGTGGCGTGAGCAGCGAAGATATTTGATAGAAACTATTTCGAGAGTGACTGGTATTGCCTCAGATCCCAGAGTTTTCTCGGAAATCAGTATGCAAGGAAAAATCATGAATGGGCTCCTAGACACCGGCGCTTCGGTTACTATGTTAGGGAAAAATTGCCGAGAGATAATAGAAGAACTTGGCATTCCAATTATACCAATGTCCAGCAGGGTAACCACCGCCGGAGGTACACAGTATAATGTTTTAGGGAAAATTAAAGCCATCATAAAATACCAAGAGCAGGAAAAATTTATGACACTGTATCTATGTCCTCAATTGGAACAAGAACTATATCTTGGAATAGACTTCTGGCGAACATTCGAATTAGCCCCTGATGTGATAGGAACTGCTGAAATTAATATAGAAAAAGTTTTCAGGGATATGACTGATACGGGTCCCGACTACAAACTCAACCCTCACGAGTTAACAAATGATCAAGAGAATCGATTAAAATGCATAGTAAAAAAATTCAAGACCTTTGAACAAAATGGGCTAGGTTGTACTAGTTTAGAAAAGCATTCGATTAAGCTCGTGGAAGGTGCGGAACCGGTTAAAGACCGCCACTATCCAATGTCTCCAGCGGTTCAAGCTATCACGTACCAAGAAGTCGATAATATGTTAGCACTTAATGTTATTGAGGAAAGTGAAAGCCCTTGGAGCAATCGTACAACTATCGTACGAAAGCCCGGAAAAAATCGTTTCTGTCTGGATGCTCGAAAGTTAAATAAGCTCACGGTCAAGGACGCATACCCCCTGCAAAACATTGAAGGAATACTAAGTCGCATTGATGAAACTCATTACATTAGCAGTGTGGATCTTAAATATGCGTTCTGGCAAATCGAATTAGACGAAGAAAGCAAGCCGTACACCGCTTTTACGGTCCCAGGTCGTCCATTGTATCAATTCCGTGTGATGCCGTTTGGATTGTGTAATGCTGCACAAAGGTTATGTCGACTGATGGACAAAGTCATTCCCCAACGACTCAAGGAGAATGTCTTTGTGTACCTGGACGACCTGTTGATTATTTCAAGTGATTTCGACGAGCATCTTCGTCTATTGAATGAAGTAGCCGATTGCCTTGACCGAGCGAGTTTAACAATCGGGTTAACCAAGTCAAAATTTTGTTTTCGTCAGTTGAGATATTTGGGATTTATTATTGGAGAAGGCATGTTGCGTACTGACCCCGAAAAAGTAGAAGCAATTCGAAAAATTAGCATTCCCAAAAGTGCTAGGGAAGTGAGAAGTTTTCTGGGTACAGCAGGATGGTACCGAAGATTTATTAAAGACTTCGCGTCACTTTCAGCTCCCCTTACTGATACCCTGAAGAAATCGCCCAAATTCGTAATTACGGAAAAGGCAAAGGAGGCATTTGAAAACTTAAAGAGGGCCTTAACTTCCGCACCGGTGTTACGCCACGCAGATTTTTCCAAACCCTTTTTTATTCAATGTGATGCTTCGGAATATGGCATCGGCGCTGTTCTATTTCAGCTGAATGCCGAAGGACATGAGCATCCGATCGCTTTCTATTCGAAAAAACTCAATAAGTGTCAGAGAAATTATAGCGTGACAGAGAAGGAATGCTTGGCGGCGGTGATGGCTATCAAAACTTTCCGTCCTTACGTGGAGCTAATGGAATTCACCGTGATAACAGATCACGCTAGTTTACAATGGCTGATGAGTCTAAAGGACCTCAGTGGTCGTTTAGCTCGCTGGTCATTGCAACTTCAGGGATTTAACTTCAAAATCGAGCACCGAAAAGGAAAGGAAAATGTTGTCGCCGATATGCTATCCCGCCTACCCAATGCCGACGAAATAGACATGAATCGGGTTTTTGAATTCGAGACCACCGAGTTTGAAAGTGATTCGTACAAACAGCTTAGAGAAATTATAGCAAATAAAAAGGAGAATCTCCCCGATCTAAAGATTGTCGACAATATGGTATTTAAAAGAGATCACAAGTCCTATAACCCAGAAACACAAGAGTTTCAGTGGAAATTGTGGGTCCCAGAGTCTTTGACCCATTCTTTAATAGAGCAAGCCCATGATAAAACTACGTCAGCTCACGGAGGCATATCAAAAACCATTTTTCGTTTAAGAGAAAAATATTACTGGCCTCTAATGGTATCCCAGGTTAGGCAATATGTGTCTAAATGTACTGTTTGCAAAGAGACAAAGCCTACCAATGAAAATACTCAGCCTCAGATCGGAAATGAAGTCGTGACAAATCTTCCCTTCCAGAAACTCTACGTTGACTTCCTCGGGAAATACCCCCGGTCTAAAAGTGGCAACGCCTTTATATTTATAGTGGTGGACCACTTTAGCAAATTTACATTTCTTAAGGCAATGAAAGAGGCAACAGCTTCCAATGTGGTAAAATTTATGGTTGAGGATATATTTCGTAAGTTTGGCGTACCCGAGACGATACATTCCGACAATGGGGCACAGTTCGTATCTAAAACTTTCAAAGACATGATTGAAACATATGGAATCAATCATATCCAAACAGCTCCATATGCTCCGCAGTCTAATGCATCTGAGAGAGTCAATCAATCAGTATTGGCGGCGATTAGGGCATATCTAGAAAATGACCACAGAGATTGGGACCTGTATCTAACAGACATAGAGTGCGCCTTAAGAACATCGATTCATACTGCAACTGGTGTAACGCCATTTTTCGCGCTGTTTGGTCATAGTATGTATACCCATGGTTCAGATTATAAATTAGCTCGGAAGCTCCACTCATTGGCGGACCATGAAATTATACATTTAGATCGTAACGACAAGATGGAACTAATCCGAAATAAAATTAGACAGAATATGCATCAGGCTTATCAACAAAGCGCAAAAAGGTATAACGCAAGGGCTCGTACGATTATTTTCTCTCCGGGGCAAGAGGTATATAAAAGAAACTATGTTCTTAGCGATTTTGGGAAAAATTTTAATGCTAAGTTTGCCCGGAAATTTACGAAGTGTCGTATAGTAAAGCCCATAGGAAATAATATGTATTCTCTCGAAGATCTAAATGGAAAGGCGATTGGAATCTGTCATGCAAAAGATCTTAAAAGATAAGTGGAAAAGAAAGTCTGTTCAATCCCCTTTCCCAATTCAATTTTTATAAAAAGAATTCTAAAATAACTTTCAAAAACTATTTCACATTTGGTACCAATTCTATATCACATTTATCAGCAATTGTTTAATTCAAAATCGAATGAATCAAAACAAAACATAGAAAATGTGTCTGATGAAACTAAATACGATAGTAAAATCACCTTCGTACTGAATTCATTCGTATTAAGGTTCAAAAATATCAGCTGATCTGTTCCCCTAATTGGGTAATTCAAAGTAATCAGACTCTAGTTTCACGTTTATCACAGCTGTCTAATTTCTTTTACAAAATATTCTACGCGACATACAAATTTGAAAAAAAAAAAAAAAATTTTACTCAAACACACCCGGTGGCGATAAAAATAGCACAATCTGGTTTATTCCGGCATAAATTAATGAAAGATTCCCATACATAAAAAGCGAACATACATAAAACTACATTCTACCAGACAATCACGTAGACACCACGATTATGGTATTTGTTTACCTATCAATCACATCAGCAAATACCGCATACAAAATCCGTTCTTCGGCAACCACGACGACAAGACAGGCATAGGCACAAATATTTCCGCATGCAAAATGTTTCACCACCTATTAAGGAATGAAAGTTATTAAATGTTCAAAACAAACGAAAAAGTACCGCAATACATTGCTAGGGCTATGCCCGCTTTCTGTCAAAATACTTCAAAATTGTATGCGACAAAATGTTTTGATAATTGTTATTTTTTGAATGCGTTATTGAACGCACGGATTTTTTTTTCAAAAAATGTGATCAAAACTGTTTAATCCTTCAATTCCAGGACAAAACAGGGTAATATTTTGAACGCCGGCCACGCAGTGTTCGTTTTTCCAAACATTGACCTTGAAAATATTTTTTTTTATTTTCAAAACAAATAATACACAATAATGACAGAAGTCGGGCACACTTGGAAAAAAAAATTGTAATCAGCTTTTAGCTCTACCTTACCTTTTTATTGTACCATGATTTCAATAATTTGATCAAATTATTTGTGTATCAAAGTACGTATAGATTCCAACTTTGAAGATTATATCCATAACCAAGAAGAATGTGTGAAATTTTGATGGAATCGGAGAATTTTTCATTGAGAGCTGGTGGGTATTACCAGTGTAGATCCGCCGGAGAGGACAAATATATTCCAACTCCACACAAGGTCTTGGGTTGATAGAATTATTGGGTTGTTCCGGATGTTTACCTTTTTGTAGTGAAGGTCCCAAAGGAGTGGGTCGATAAATCCCATCCGTTCCTCTGAGCTTGTCTTAGTAGAAATACTGAATGCGGGATTTTATAAATAACCGAATGCGTATTGTAAAATTTATGAGCGTTTTTGATCTTCCCAAATGTTGACCTGTTATAGGGGAATTACCAGCGAGTTTCCCGGACTCGGAACTCGATCGATGTTTGGTAGTGACACGATATTTTCAGGGTGTCGGATCGAGAATTATCAGGCGAACCAGCAAGACATGTTTCACAGATCTGATGGACAGATTAGAAAAATAAATTAATTTATGTGGTTCTATTTCGATGGGGGATATTTACCAGCATGAGGGGGAGGGCTTTGACCAGCCTGCTGTTCGGAGCTTATGCCCGGCATGAGACCTTCAGGGAGTGGGATGTCCCCACGTAAATGAGTAATGCGGCCGTGCACATCACCTCCGTCCTCGATTTTCTGGCCGAAGTTGAAGTTTTGTTGCAGGCCGTTCACATGCGGCGCAAAAAGGCAACAAATATATGGGGCCGTGTTTTTTGGCAAAACCTGTCCACAACCACCGCAGAAATTATCCCAATTCTGTTGGTAGTGCATCCCATAATTGGTCCTCAAATGGATTTGCTCAGTTTTCCTGGGTTTTTAGTGAGGATGGTGAGGATGCTTCGAGATTTCAATTTGCTTGTAATTTCTGCGGGGTGTGTAGTCCGGGTGGCGATGGGATCAAAATGCCGGAAATGGTTTGTTAGGGTTCGCTACGTACGAAATTAGGCTCGAACAGGGTTGAGTAAAAGAGTATTATAAAGGTAGTAAATGACAGGGTGACTCAGGCTAAGAAGTGACTAGGCAGCCCTATGATTGCTGAGTAGGTGGGAACCTACTATAAATATGATAAAAATTTTGTTTAGACACAATTTGAATGAATGATTATGAAAAAAAAAAGCGGCACGTTGAAATAAAAATTTAAGAAATATCAGAAGAATAGAAAAACAAAAGATTTCGAGAGAAATAATTAAAATGTTTTTGCTGATGTCTCGCTGCCGTATAAGGTTAAAGGAAATTGGCGTTGTTTGGGGTAATTGGCGAGTTGGTAACGTAAGTGAAAAGGGTTGGGCGAATAGTTAGACAGCCGTTGATTTTTAAATGAGAGACTCAGGGGTGAGGTGAAATGAGAATTCACAATAAAAAAAAAAAATGGCTATTGACAGTTGAAAAGAAAAAGGAATGAAAATTGAAAATGGTTCAGGAAAATGGTGTTTCGTGGAAAATGAGCGTCTGGCGGGATTCACTGAGAAGAGGGGTATAAAAGGCTGCGAGCATAAGAAAAGCCAAAGTTGAGAATAAGACGTTACCGGTGAAACTTAGCTAGAGAGCAGTGAAGAAGTGGAAAAATTTAATTTGTGTGTTGCGATTTTTTTTTATTGTGTAAGTAGTTTGTAACAGTGGTTTGTTGAGTATTGTGTTGTTATATGTGATGTGTGTTGCTCCAACAGGAATATTCCGGTGGTGTATCAAGCCTTTTTTGGAAGCACCGAAAATTGTCCGGTTTTGGTCAGCACAACGGCGGGAAATTGCCTTTTCTTTTTGGTAACGCAAGGTAGTGGCAAGTTGTCCACAGGAAAAAAAAGCCAAAAAAGTTACATTGAGGGTGTGGAGATTTGAATTGTAAACTGGCCAGCTGCAACTTTGAGCTTTTTGCTGTGCCGGTTATTGATCCCGCCCAGAACGCCGGCATTGTAAAAGGACCAGTCAACAAGTCCAGCTTCATTTGAGGGTTTGCCTGGCGTTCAAAATCTGTTTCCTCCGGAAAGAAGCGTAAACTGGAAGGAGAGATAAGAAGAATTAATCAATAACGTTATAAATCACTGCTCAGGTAAAAGGTGTCTTACCGTTGTGTTGTCCTTGATATATATATTTATATATATGTGACGTCCATAAAATTTGCTGTCTCCTTTTTTGGAACTAAAAGAAAAGAAAAAAAAAAGAGTTAATAATCATAAATTTCGAGAAAAAAAAAATATAATATTCAGTATAAAGATTTAGTAATAAGATAGGTTATAGTTCTTAGGATTTAAGTAATAATCAGTTTGTAAGGGAAAAATACCGCGTTTATTTTCAAAGGCTAGGAGGTGTTACAGTAAAATTATCTTGAGTCCTTGTGATTCGATCTGATAGTTTAGGCCGTGGAATTTTAGCGGCAATTAGGCCGGTTAAGAGAGCTCTTTTAGGTGGCTAGTAATTTCGTATAGACGCGGAATATTGCGCGGGAAAAGCAAGGCAAAGGATAATATATTGGTTTCTACCGAGTAATTAAAGCCATAGATTTAAGAAAGCCCGGTATTATTCTTAATTTGTTTTTTTTTATACCATACAGTTTGTCAATTTTAATGTAAGAAAAAAAATAGTAGAGAAAAAAATTAAGAAAATATTTAAAGCTAACTTATTTTTTTTAATAAAATTAAAAATGATTCTTTTGTAAACAGTAGATACTAATATGTGTTGCTAAGTTTGTATAGCTTGGGGGGAAGGTGGTATGAAGTAAGTGTGTGATTCGAAGCGTGTGGTTCAAGGGGATTCAGAGAAACGCAAGAAATGGAAATACTGGATCCAGGTAGGGTGGGCGAGTGTGGGATCGATCCGCCGAGATCCCTGTATGATGACTCCTATTTTGTATATCGTAGAGTAGAGCAATTGTAGTAAAGTCCCCTTTCAATGTTAGTGTGTTGGATTCGATTGGCGGGTTGAGATCCCTAGCCCTGGGAGTCTCTGTGACAGTCGGATGGCCTAATCGTATGCCGAGCAAATGCACACATAACAAAAGTTGAAATCGTGAATGAAAATTGTAAAATTAATGATATAATAAATCTTTGGGAGGAAAACAATAATTTCTTCTATACATATTAGTGAGAATTTCATGTATTTTCGTAAAAATTCCCATTAAAAACAACAAACAAAATTTTTGAAAAAAGGAATAATTTTACTATGAATTACGAATCGTGCCGTATGAACGGGTTAATTCGTGTACCTAATTCTGAGAGCGAACAACGTTGTTCGGTTTCCAATGGAAACATGCTATTACCTTTTTTTGTACCATGTCTGTATGATTGTTAAATGGCTACCAAAAGAAAATGTATATTCAGGTGATTGGTATGCGGGAAGGTAGAGTTCATTTCTGAAGAAGCCAGTCGATGACTTAAGCCAGCCAGATAAGCGCTTTATGTATTTCCACCCTAAGTTTATTGTCAAAAGTTGTCCCATTGGTATCTATTACGGCATCCCATAAGACCAGCTGCCAATATGCATGCTGCGTATTAAAACGTAAACAGAACATCTAAAAACCCATTTTGTGCAAAAATGTAATTTAGGTGCACAAGAAAAAAGAAAAGTTGAATTTATTTTTAAGTTAAAATTACAGTTGCTCGAAATGCGCTGGGGTACGACAAGAAGTCTGAAGCATCTCTTAAATTCCTCCAGCGTTTTTTCTGTATTGTGTTCATAAAAATTGTCTTTAAACAGAATATTCTTCTACAGCTTTTTCCAATTGTTAGAGTTTCTTTTGATTCTTATCATTCCTCGAATGTTGCACCAAACCGTTCAGAATCTGAAGAAGTTGAAACAAAAACGTTCGAAGTTATATTACGAGATTAAAAGCAGTCCAAACGGAATCTGTGACATGGTCTATTTAAGCATGTTCAATAAAAATTGTTGCCGGGTATTTAAACTTTCACCCTCTTTTAAATCATAAAGAAACAAATAGCATATTTTTTTCGATTTTAGTCTTTATTTATTCATTTTTTTGGATAATTAAGAAACTGTAATTTCAATAAACTTAAATAATTTATCAATCTTCTCCTCCAATTGTTGTTTTTTGGTTTTGGTTTTTAATTCATGAAAAATTATGCTATTCACAAGTAAGTGAATTTTGGTTTTTAATTTGTTTTATACATTTAAGTTTTTTTCTTTTCGGCTTTTTTGTTTTGTATGTGTTATAATAAAATATGATTTTATTTTTTGTATGTTGTTTGTTGTTGTTGTTATGTGGACAATCATATTATTCAATTTTGGTTTTGTGTATAAATTATAGGCATAACTTTGAAAAACTCTTTAGCAAGAGTTTTGCGCGGTGTGAAAATTCCACACAACAAGAGTAGGGTGTATGTGTGTGTGTGCTGGTTTTTTGCTGCTGTTCACACATAAAAATGTCGTTTTGTATAAAGCAAAGTTAGTTTTTTTTAATGTATTTTTTCCATTTTGATTTAATGACATTTTTTTGTTGTTTGGTACGTAAAAATGTTGTTTAGTGAAAAATGTTTAGTTATTTTGTCGAGTTTTTGTTTTTTTCTTTTTGGTATAATTTAGTGATGAGTTGTGTGAATTTTGTTTTTGTTATGACATTTGGTTTGAAAAAGGAAGCAATGTTTGTTTAATTTACAACATAAAATTCTTGAAATAACAATGAAGGTAAATTGGGTGAAAATAAGTGGAAGGGTTGGAAAAAGGTTGATTTTATTTGAAAATTTTTGAAAATGGGTTTGTATAATTGATTTGAAGAGTTTTGGCTGGGCAGGATATAGAATAAAAGGAAAATTATTTGTTTACTTACCATTAAAGGGGGGTTGGGTGTTATCATCAACAAATTAAAAAAAAAAACGAGTGGAGAAAGATAAACAGAATATAACCGTTTTTGGGTAGACAAGGGTTTTGGAAACCTATACTCTTCTTTTGGTTATTAACAATTATTTCTCTTGTTTCTTTTTTTCAGTTATATAAACATTTAAGTTATTTTGTACACAATAAAACGATTAGTTATTGGCTGTGTGTGTGTGTTTTAATGACATCAATAAATACACAGAGATTTTTAATTTAAAAATATATATCTTCCCCTGCTATACAGAAAATTGTATATAGTTTGGTATTATAGTCCGCGTCGTGTGTGGACCAAGAGAAGCAAAACAACTAGAAACCTTTTCCAAACTATGGCAACTCTCTCTCACTCTTTCCTTTTCTCCATGAAATCTAGCATTTGCCACAAAATCTAAAGCATACTTTAAGGAGTTTGGTTGTCATAGAAATATAACATAAAAGGGGAAATAACTTTTGTTTATCCCGCGCTGTCTGCTGGAAAACGATTTCTCCCGGACTTTATTGTAGTTTTCTACAGTTTTCCAATTATGAATTTTTGTAAAACAAACACATGTTTAAAAAAAAGTTCATTATCGGCCCAATTGCAGTTGTCGTTTTTATAGTCGTCGTCTACGTTATGTGTAAGTCGCCGTCGCTTGGATTCAAATGAACTGTCAAACCAATTTTGTAATTGAAAATGTTGAATGACAAATTATTTGAATTTGTAAAAATACGTACGCATACGTATTATAACAACCTCCGATTGGCGTCGTATAAGAAATCGTATAAAAATCTATTTATTTTTGAAAAAACGTTAAAAAATTTTTGACATATCAGTGTTCCCAAGCTTTGGGAAAGACTTTGAAACGACATCGACAGTTTAAAAAAAAAAAGTTGTCCTCACTTCCTTCTTGTCGACAAAAAAATATAAAAAAAAATTGTTTGCAGCAGCGAGTGCTAAGGCAGCAAACATACATATTTGCATTGCCTGAGTCCAAGTAAGTACATATTTTAATTAAAATATGTACTTAATGTGTCCTTTTAGATTTTTAATTTACTTCAGAATTATCAAGGACTGTTAATAGAAATTTCGCCAAGCTCTTTTTTTTGAATTCTTTCCAGTGGTCCGGGTTCAAGAGCCGGGCTTGATCCGTATCCGCTTACCCAATATAGACAATATAGGTATCGCTTATGAAAATACCGATCCCATCACCCAAGAAAAAAAATACTTTTCCGGAATCAGGGAAAATAATATCATCGCTATCGACAAAAACCGACAACCCTATACCGTTATGGTTGCCTCGACTTCATTTTACGACGACGACGACGACGACGACAACGGTAATGGGGACGAATAAAATTCCATTTCGAAGAAGCCTTTTTTGTTGCAAACTTAGAATCTATAACCCACCCAATTTGCTTGCTTTAAATTTCGGTAACCTAGATTCATTCAAAACAATCAACTCCCATAAAATCTAAAACAAAAAACCTAAAGTAACATAAAAACAAACAATGATGACAAATATTTTAACCTAGAACGGCAAAACTTTTACAACAAAAATTAATGTACAAAAACATTTTGTTTCTCTTGTTGTTCTTTTTTCATAAGTGTGTTTACACAGTTTATTTAAGGATTATAGCAGGTTTTATGAATAATCATAATAAACGTAGTAGTAGAATATTAGGAGGATGTAATTTGTCGAATGAAATGGTGAGGAGTCTGACTTGTGTTTCTTTTTTTTTTTTTTTTTGGTTTTTGATTATTACAAAACATGTATATGTGGGGAATACTTAATAAAACGACGATATAGATTGATAACAAAGTAAAGGAAAGAACATAGAAAACGTAGTTTATATTTTCAGAAAACACAACAAAAACAATTTTACGTAATGACAACGTAAATAACTGGTTTATTTAGAGATGTAATTTAATTATAAAAAACAGAGAATTAATAAATTATGCCAAAAAGAGATGGTAGGAGGACGAAACAGAACAGAAAAGAGGGTATTATGTTTAAAATTATATAAAAAATATTTTATTATTTCCATCATATGCTTCTTCATTCAATAAACTTCCACACAAAAAATCGATTTGTTTTTTCTTTTTTTTTGGAAAAAGGAAGCATTTTGGTTTTGTTTCACTCTATTTTTCATCCATCTTCTTTGTTTAAGACAACGACTTCGACAAAAATAATACAAAAATAAAAGAATATTTTTGGAGTTTTTTTTTGGTTATTATAAAAAAAACAAAATGAAATTATTTATTAAAAAAATAATAAATAATATAATGCTCTGCCTAACAAAAAAATTACATAATGAATTTGAATTTTTGTTTCACGAATTTTGTTGTTTGTGTATACGTTTTTTTTTTTTTTTTTTTGTTGCAAACAAAGAAAAATAATGTTTAGTTTTAAAAATATACAATAAAGAAATATATTTTCAATATAGATCATAAAAACCACGGATTTTTTGTTTTGCACTTGTTTATTGCTAATTGGTTGTTATTGTAGCTCTTCTTCTTCGGGTTGTTGCAGATATTGGGTTCTGTTTTTTTTTGGTAGAATTACTAACGAAACAAAACGAAAGGAAGATTTTCTTTTCAATTCTTTTGTGGATTGTGGGAAAAAGTAAAGAAGGCAGAAGAGAAAATTAGAGAAAAATCAAAATGAAGGGAGGATCCACCCCCATCCATATCTCTCTCTGGCATTTCATTCCATTATGAGCTCCAAAATGTTGGCTTTTGGTTTCTTCAACTTTCTGGCTTCTTTACTTCTTCCACTGACTGACTGACTTATGCTTCCTCCTTTTATTTGTTTTTTTTTTTTATTGGACGCGCATTGTTCCTCTCTCTCTGTTTGCTTTTGAATTTACAAAACATCAGGATGTTGTTTGTGTTATTAATTTTAATTTCTTTTTTTAATATATATTTTTGACCATGTTTATTTTAGCTGTTGTTGTTGCTGTCTGTATAATTGGTTTTGTTTGTTGTAGAAGATCCAAGACTGTTTTCGGAGTTGTTTGTTTTTATTTAAAATGTGTATGTTGTGTTGTTGTTGTTGGTTGGTTGGTTGGTTGTTATGCTTTGAATTTTAATTTAAAATATTTTCTTGCTGAAGTTGTTTGGATTTTCTTCTCTTGTTTTAAAAATATTTAATTTTGTTGTTGTTGTTGTTGGTTTTTCATAGTCATTTTAAAAAGGAAACAATTTAGTTTGGTTGTTAGTTGTCACCACCTTCTTGTGGTTCATCGCCATCACCCTGGGTGTCCGATGTCCAGAGGGTAAGGTTATCTCTCAACAATTGCATGATGAGTGTTGAGTCCTTGTACGAATCCTCGTTGAGAGTATCCAGTTCAGCTATCGCATCATCGAATGCCTAAAGTTCGGAAAAAAATATGATAAAAATTAGTATGACAAAATAATTTTTAATTTTAATGCATTTTATTAACAACGAAGCAACAACAACTAGAATATAAAAAAATATGCAGCAATTCTGTCATGTTCGAACATGAATTAGTAAAAGGATTTTGATAGATAGATTGGTTGTAGTAAACAAATCAATTTACAAATATTTCAAAGTTTTTTGTTTGATTTTCTTCTTAACCTCAAATCTTAAATTAGGTTTTTTAATTGGTATTTCCAATTCCGAAATACTTTGCCGTTATTTTGGTAGTTTTTTTTTTCATCCTAACCTCAAAACTTAAATTTTTTTTTTCAATTATATTAGAAACCCATTGGCGAATTCTACTCGACTTAAACTCCAATTCTGAAATAGGAAATTTGCCTTTATTTCGATAAAGATTTTTATTTTCATCCTAACCTGAAACCTTAAATTATTTTTTTTCAATGATTCTAAAAACCCATTTACTAAATCCGCTCAACATAAACTGCAATTGCGAAATACTAACTTTTCCAATAGTTTGGCAAGGTTTTTTTATATTTTCATCCTAACCTCAAACCCAAAATTATTTTTTATTTTATTTTCATCCTAACCTCAAACCCTGAATTATTTTTTTAGCTATACTAAATACCCATTGACGTATTCCACTCAACATAATTTCCAATTCTGAAATATCAGATATGCCTTTTTTGGTAGTTTTTTATTTTTACCCTAACCTCTAACCTTAAATTTTTTTTCAATTATTCTAAAAACCCCTTGATTAATTCCACTCAACATAAAATCCAATTGCGAAATACTAACTTTTCCATTAGTTTGGCAACGATTTTTTCAAATTTTCATTCGAACCTCGAAACAAAAATTATTTTTATTTCCATCCTAACCTCAATGTTTTTTTTTTTTAATTATACTGAAACCCTTTGACTATTCCACTCAAGATATACTCTAATTTTGAAATGCTAACTTTCCCGTTATTTTGTCAAAGTTGATTCCTTGATTTTCACCCTAACCTCAAAACCCTAAATTAATTCATTTTTTAAATTTCCCCATTTTTTAGCACTAGATGTAAGAAATTGCCACTAGAAACCAATTGACGTGTTCCTCTCAACATAAACTCCAATTCCGAAATAACAACTTTGCCTTTATTTTGGTAAAGTTTTGTTTCATCTTAACCTCAAACCCAAAATTATTTTTTATTTTATTTTAATCCTAACCTCAAACCCTAATAAACTCCTTGACCATTCCACTCAAGATATAATCTAATTTCGAAATAATTACTTTCCCGTTAGTTTGTCAAAGTTGCTTCCTTGATTTTCGCCCTAACCTCAAAAATCCTAAATTATTTCATACCATGGTATGGAGGGTATATTAAATTTGTCAGATTTGTCAAATTTTTCAGATTTAGACCCCACAAATATATATATTCTTGATCTTTAGTTTATGTTAATTTTGTCTTCCCTCTCTTTGATAAAATATTCTTTATATAAATCCCGAATTTGTTTCCAAAACAATGTTTTTTAATAAATTGATTTGTTTACTCTTGTTTAAGCAAAAGAAAAGAATACTCAACACGTTACATCATCAGTAATTTTTTTTCGAATTTCCAAAAAAGGTATTATTCAATGGGTATGTTGTGAGAGGGTGTATGGGTCGGTTCGTTCGTTCTTTATATCAAAGAAGAAAAGCACACTGACAACAATATAGAGGTGGTACGCGTTTTGGAAACCTCCATAAAACCCTTGGTTGTAAATATGGTTTAAACATTTAAAAAAATATGTTGTTAGTGAAGAAGAACACACAATAAAAAAACATGCATAGGAGTAGTAAATTGTGGTAGTTTTGGCGGCGGGGGTCAGTGGTAAAGGTTTTTATGCTGAAGAAGTAGAATTTCAAGATTTAGTAACAAGGCAAGCAGACAAATATCATCAGCGCATAATAAGGCAGCATCAAATACGGAAATTTGGGACTCAGACGCACACAGAAAGTTGCGTGAACGAAAAACGGTGAGAGATGTGAAGGGAACATTTTTCAAATTCATTTTTCCTCTCGTAGCCAAAAACTCAGGTTAAAAATTTGATGATAAACTTTATCAGGCAGAAGGTAAGAAAGAAGAGCAGCAGAGGCTAGATTCTTGTTCCATAAAAAAAGGAATGAAAAATGTTTCTAATGCCTGAAAAAAGTCGGCCAAGAAGACTTTGTTTTGACAACAAACCAAAGGTGGGAATACATAAAGTGCTTATTTGGCTGGCTTCTTCGGAAATGAACAAAGGAGCCTAGGGCCAAAACCGAACTAAGTCAACCTAAAACTTCTTTTTTCCTCTACGAAGAAGCCAGCCGAAGACTCAAGCCCGCCAAATAAGCGCTTTATGTATGCCCACCTTAAAGGTGTAGGGACATAAACACCTTGAAGTCTGATGATATGTTACAAAATATGCCATGCGCAGACTTCAAGCTGTTTATTTCCCCACGCCCTTAATGTGGGCATATATAAAGCGCTTATTTGGCTGGCTTTTGGCTGGCATCTTCGGAAATGAACAAAGAAGCCTAGGGCCAAAATCGAACTAAGTCAACCTAAAACTCCTTTGTTCCTCTACGAAGAAGCATCGGCTGGCGACTTAAGCCAGCCAAATGAGTGTTTTATGTATTCCCATCTTAAAGGTGTAGGAACATAAACAGCTTGAAGTCTGATGATATGTTGCAAAATATGCCATGCGCAGACTTCAAGCTGTTTATGTCCCCACACCTTGAAGGTGGGCATACATAAAGCGCTTTTTTGGCTGGCTTCTTCAAAGGGGATGGCCAGAGACGCATTCGAATTTTGCCGTCGGTTTGCTTATAATTTGACATTAATACGTCTAGCCATGATGCCGAGCTGGTTATGTACGTATCCTCATCTTATGTAGTTTTTGCAATATTGTGGTTCGACTCTCTTCGAATACGAAAGATGGACTTACTAGTCTTCCTGACCGACCTTATGTAGGCATTGGGCCGAAATTTTTCATTTCACATTTTCATAAAACAAGAATAGTGCCCAGAGGTCCTCCCCCCTATTTTCCAAAATTGCTTATTAAATATTTAAACCCTCCAAGTTTCGGCTTTCATTTGTTTCGACTTTCTCTGTCGTCTGTTGTCCGAGAAACGAATTTTGGATATTTAGTTTACAACTCATGGTTAGATACTTGAAGTATACCATCAAGGCTTTTAGAGAGGGGTGTTAGACTAATACAACTACAAATATTATTTGGATTGGTGTGGTTACGACCAAAAAAACAGCAAATATTTCTATTGGAACAGGCGGGCGGCAGGCAAGCTTGCACGCAAAACACATTTTGGGCCCAGCAAAAAAAAAAAAAACAAAAAGCTTCAATATATGAAAACAAATTGCTTGAAAATAAAGAAACAAAAAAAGAGAGATTGAAACCTGTTTGGCTAAATGACAGGCCCGCGCCGGTGAATTGATAATTTCATAATAGAAGACGGAAAAGTTGAGAGCAAGACCTAATCTGATGGGATGTGTGGGCTGCATTTTTGTTTTGGCAATATCGAAAGCCTCCTGATAAGCCTTTTTCGAATCTTCAACCACGGCTATAAAAATAATTGAAAACAAAGAATAAAGAGATTTATAAAGAAAAGATGTTTGAAAACATAACATAAAATAAACAAAAAAAAGTTATTATTACAGATAGATAGGTGGTTGGACTGACTAGTTCAAAAACATATTCTCTACAAAAAAAAATAGATTTGCTAGGCAGAAATCGCGACTCCCCCAATACTGGAATTGCATTATTTGTTATGTATTCATGATGATGTGGCGTGTTTTTCTTTTTTCGATGCTGTTATTGCATTTGTTTATATTTCTTTATCCTGGTTGTTGTTGTTGCTCTTTTGCATTTTTTTATTTGTATTTTGCATTTTATAATATTAACCTGTTTGGCCAATTGGCAAGCTTTGTCTGGAGAATTCAGAATCTCATAGTAGAAGACTGAGAAATTAAGTGCAAGACCCAATCTGATGGGATGTGTTGGTTGCATTTTACCCTTGCTAATTTCAAATGCATCCTGGTATGCGGTTTGGGAGTCGTCAACAACGGCTAAAATTATTAATTATGACGTGAAATTAAAATTTTTCAAATATTATGCAATTGGATGGATGGTTGTAGAATTTTTTTTGGGAGGAAAAAAAAAACGATTTTTTTGTAAACAAATAAAAAGAAATGGCTGTATACTTACTGTTGCGGGCATCTCCTGTGGCTACTTCAGCTAAATACCTGTAATAATCTCCCTTCATTTTCAGATAGAAAACCTTACTTTCTGGATTGCTAGCTTTAGGAATAAGGTATTTGTCAAGAAGACCCTGAAAAGAGAAAGAACACGAAATTCAATTAATTTAAATATAATACAAAAAAAAAAAACAAAAACAAGTAAAAAAACATTAAGTTCGGCCGGGCCGAACTTTCAATAGTTATATGTGCGCTTTAGAAAAACGTGGAACTAAATATTCAATGTTCTGCCAACGGGCTAGAACCCATTATGAACTGCAAATCCAATCCAATTCTTATCAAAATGTCAAATATCGGGAGGTACCGTTATATGGAGGCTATACCAAAACATGGACCTATACATACAATGTTTCGCCACCGGAGCTAGAAACCATTATGACCTACAAATATCATTTTTTAGACAAATCCGTGAAAAAACCGTGGCAAAAATCATCAAAATACTGAATATCGGGAGGTACCGCTTTATGGGGCTATCCCAAAATGTGGTCCTATACATACAATATTTCGCCACATGAGCTATTATGACCTACAAATACCAATTTTTAGACAAATCCGCGAAAAAATGTGGCAAAAATCATCAAAATATCGAATATCGGAAGGTACCGTTATGTGGGGTCTAAACCAAAACCTGGACCTATACATACAATTTTTCGCCACACGAGCTAGACCCTATTATGACCTACAAAGACCAATTTTTAGACAAATCCGTGAAAAAAAACGTGACAAAAATAATCAAAATCAAAAACTAGAACACATTATAAGCTACATATACCAATTTTTAGACAAATCCGTCGGGAAAATGTGGCGAAAATCATCAAAATACCGAATATCGGGAGGTACCGTTATATGGTGGCTATACCAAAGCGTGGACCGATATATCTCATATTTAAAACCAACCATCCTTGACACAATACAAATTGTTCTGCCAAGGCTGTATCGTGATTTCAACAGTGAGACAGACGGACGGACAGGCAGGCAGACGGACATCGTTAAATCGACTTAGAATTTTATGCTGATTATGAATATATATACTTTATGGGATCTTCGATGAATATTTACCCTCTTCCTTCCCAAGATGGATGGTATAATTAAGGACAAATTAATTAAGGCTTTAAAAATAGATTAATTTTTTATACCCTCCACCATGGGTAGGAGGGTATATTAACTTTGTCATTCCGTTTGTAACACCTCTAAATATTCGTCGTAGACCCCATAAAGTATATATATTCATAATCAGCATAAAATTCTAAGACGATTTAGCGATGTCCGTCTGTCTGTCTGTCTGTCTGTCCGTCTGTCTGTCTGTTGAAATCACGATAGAGCCCACATTATTTGACGTAGACCTTTGAAATTTGGCACAAGTGTGTGTATTGTCCCTAGGATGGTTGGTATTGAAAATGAGATATATCGGTCCACGTTCTGGTATAGTCCCCATATAACGGTACCTCCCGATATTCGGTATTTTGATGATTTATGCCACATTTTTTCACGGATTTATCTGAAAATTGGTATTTGTAGGTCATGACGGGTCCCTGAGCGTGTGGCAAAACATTGCATGTATAGGTCCACGTTTTGGTATAGCCCCCATATAACGGTACCTACCGATATTCGGTATTTTGATGATTTATGCCACATTTTTTCACGGATTTGTCTGAAAATTGGTATTTGTAGGTCACAACGGGTCCCTGAGCGTGTGGCAAAACATTGCATGTATAGGTCCACGTTCTGGTATAGTCCCCATATAACGGTACCTCCCGATATTCGGTATTTTGATGATTTATGCCACATTTTTTCACTGATTTGTGTAAAAGTTGGTATTTGTGGGTCATAATGGGTCCTAGTTCGTGTGGCGAAACATTGTAATTATAGGTGCACGTGTTGGTGTAGCCCCTATATAACAGTACCTCCCGATATTCGGCATTTTAATGTTTTTTGCCACATTTCTTCTAATGTTCTTTTACCCTAGGGTGGAGGGTATTAAAAGTTTGGCCCGGCCGAACTTAATGTTTTTTTACTTGTTTAAAACACAAGAGTTTGGATGTCAATACAGCTCCCTAAAGTTATTAAAGATAAATCTACATAATCCTTTCTCCCTTTCCCCCAAGGCCTCAATGTGGCATAAAAATAGACATTTAAGGGTAACAATGTAAGGAAGAACATCCTCGACGACATTACTGCGCCACAATAACAACCACAAAGTGGTGGGGTGGGGTGGTATGTTGTCACATTCATTTTTCAGGGCTTTATTGCTTGGTATTTTAAAATAGATTTATTGATTGGAAACAACAACAAATCCATCATCAACTAGTCAACGAATACTAACGACCAAAGGCGGCATCAGGTGGTGGTAAAGTCCTCACAAAACAAGGTACATATAATACTTAGTGTATGGTATGTTTGTACGTTTTATGATGTACATACAAACCTAGCTATCGCAGCAGCACAAGCACCACCATTACCCTGAAAATGTTACACACATACGAGGTCGTGCGGAATATAGCGATGAGTGGAAATTAAGTTTACTCTCCGGGGAGCATAATGTTCTTCTTCATTATAAAAGTAAGGTTAAAAATAGTGAAAACAACAACTACAGCACCACATTATAATCAGTACAAAGTGGTTTCTGTGTGTGTGTGTGTGTGTGTGTGTGTGCATGTGTGTGATAATAATCAACCACACCATCGGTCAGAAAGTGTGCAGATAAATAATCGGTTCTAAAAAATCAAAAAAAAAAAAAACGCCCTGGACATAATCTGTATATGAAAACAGTAGCATGTTTTAAGACATGAGTGTCTCGGTATCTCCTCTTGTATGAAATTGAGGATTTATGATGGTGAAAAAACGTATAGAACGATTGTAAATTTTAATTTTGTATAAATGTAATCGCCGGAACAGACTCAGACTGAGTTTCCTGTTCTTGATGACCTTGAGCAGTGCGCTTGGAAATCATTGAATTTTATTACCAAATGTGTGCTCTCTTAAGATAGTTACAGGAGCGATTCTTCAATTCTTTGGTCAGTTTAATAGAACCACTAAAATGGCTATTCTGGCTAAATTACTAAATCTGACTAAATGACTAAATCTCGCACCCAAATTACAATGTTGCACATTAAACCATCAATACACTTACGGAACGAGCCAATTGGAAAAAATATCACAGCTCTATCGGCAAGTGTTAATGATGACCATCAATTGTCGATTTGTCGCCTTTCGCAGCAATTGGGCCTCTATAGTGTGAGATGAAAAAACTGTAACCAAATTCAGACTGTGTTTGGAGTATTTTGGAAAGCAAGGTTGTCACTAACAAATACCAAAGTGTCGATCACCTCAAGCAAGCGCTTCGCTGGGAATGGACCGAAATACCGCGGAGCAACATTCGTGCAGCGTGTGACGCAAATATTGGGATTTGCAAAGTTGGAGCAAAATGGAATTATACCTTCTCTTTCTGTGCAGTAAATTATTTTCTTTGAAAATGTCGATATTTTGTGGCGGAGGTACCAGAAGGAGTGAACAGATATTGTCCATCTCTGAACTCGATCTAAGTTTGACAATAATATTACGATGTACCAAGTATGAATCAAATCAGATACTCCTTTCGAGAGTTATCGTGTGTACCAGCCAACCAGACGGACGGACGGACATCGCTAACAAGAGAAAAGACTGGTTGTTGTTCTTAAAAATTATGCCTTCACTGTGACGGGTTATGTCTTCAATATTTTCTTTTTATAGCAGGTCTTCTACTAGACATCTAGCATAAGTTACTGGGAATATATTTTTATATTACATCACATCTACTGCGACAATTAAATCTAGATATTTTTTATTTTACAATTTAAAAAATTACATTCAAACTTACCAAAACTTCATAACAGATTTCCCTAAGTTCCTTCTCTACGCGTTCTCTGTACTCGCGGGCGAGTTGTTGTTTTCTGGCGGAGGCTTCGGTTTTCTGCTCAATGGAGGAAATTACTCTCCATGATGATCTGTAAGGAATAAGAGATTTAGAGAGATTTAGAAATTATTATTTTTGAAAGGATTTATAAAAAAAAGTCCAAGTTTAAGAGTTTGAGTTATTTCAATGATACACAAAATATTCTTCTCTAAAAGTTTCAAGGTATTTTTAATGTGTCTGCGGTTAAAGGTTCATTTTTTTCATTTGGTATTTGAAAAATGAGCCAACTCTGAGATACAATTAAGAGCCGTTAAGATATTATATATTTTCAGATAACATACCTGCGGGCACCAACAACATTTTTGTAAGCAACTGATAGCAAATTTCTTTCTTCATTTGACAGTTCGACACCGGTTTCTGTGACTGATTTCATAGCTTGAGCCATGTCATCGTATCTGTAAAGTAATAACAACAAAACAGAATATGTTTAGAAGAAGTCTCTTTTTTAGTAATTTGTATTGAAATATTAAATAAAAACAAGTTCTTCGTTTCTTTTTTTTTCTTACCTTTCGGATTGTTCGGCCAATTTTGCCTTTTGGACCAATTCCTCTTTATCGACTGTCGACATTTTGATGTGTTTTGTTTTTGTTTTGCTTTAACTTAGAAATTTAAAATGTTACTTTGTAATGGGTAAACGCTTGCCCACAACTTTTATTGTTGAATACAGTTCGCGCTTAGAGAGATTATAATGTAAGGAATCTAAAACTGAATGCGTCGCTCACAGTATGACTATCTGGAAAGAAAAAAATTCAAACATTAGTAAAGTGTTTTTTTTTTTATTTCAATTAAAGTTAAGTGTAAAAGAAAATCAATTTGTTGAATTTTTGCAAAATTGCCAATGTTGATAAAACCGAATTTTGTAGAAGGCTGCCCTAGTAATGTAGGTATATGCTTGAGGAACGTATGTACGTTTTTGCATTTGTTTATCATGTTTTGCTTTGCAACGATCTTGTCATGAGGTACATGAGGTAATTTTAATCACTTGAGTGTTTTCATTCCGCTTTTAATCATTAGTCATAACATGACATGAGTAAGAGTGTTAAACAAAAAGCCATTGAACTTGATATCGGAAATGATACATTTTTAATTAGATACTACATTTATGTAATGTAAAATTAAAAAAATCAACAATAAATGTTTTTGACGTCGCGAAAAATGCGTAGACAAGCAAATATCAGAAAAACCTCGCCAATTATGGCCAAGATCAATTCAAATTAGAGATTGGATTAACACCAAATAAAATACAATATACATTTATTACACACAATTAAATGACAAAAAATAGATTTTCCCAGATGGATTTCCTCCTCACACCATAAAGTATTTAATTATTCACTTATAATTATTAGCAGACTCCACCACAAGAAAAAAATAAAAGCTATTTATTTCCTTCATTGCACACAGCTTAATGACAACCTACTGCTCTCTAGATTTTCAAATATTCCCAAATGGCTGACCTCTTCACATAATAAAGTATTTTAATATTCACTTATATTAATATTCCAACACAAGAATTTAATAGAAATTATTTATTTCCTTCATTTCACATAAACAAGAAAAAAATATAATTACTAAAATGCCTTTATTTCTTGTTTCTCTCTCTCTCACACACACTCTCTGTCAAACGATGCAATAATAAGACACAGCACAATATGATGACTCATCTCCCAAATGCATTTTTCTCCTACTCATTGCTGTTTTTTTTTCTGTATTTTCTCTGCATTTATTTGTTGTATGCCTCATTATTAATAATTTGTTTTTAATAGCCAGAGAAACAATTGGAAAATTGTTAATTTTTAGAAAACAAGGCACGACCTTAAGTAGATTACAAGAACCAGCAGCAAGCGCACATGTGTCAAATTATAAGAATATGAAGGCTGCTGGATGAGAAATTTGCAACACCTCTCAACTTCCCCACCCATTTTCATTTTCCTGTAGTAGTTGTTGTATTGACTTTTGCATTCGTTAAATGTCAATGATAAATAGTGATAGACGAGTGCGTATGGTAGTTGTAACGTAACGACGTATGGCATATATTACCGCCTGATTGACATTAGACGATTTTACTAAGGAAATCCCACATTTATGTCATCATTAAACTAAGAATTACTGCAATTAAAGTTGTCTTTTTAAAATTAAGACTTAAGCAACTAGAAATTAAATAAACCATTACAAGACGTTTACACTAAATTAAAGCTCTATGAAACGTAAGCCCACTACTTATTAAGATTTAAAATAATTTCTTTTAAATCAAAGTTTGATTTATTGCTTGACAATAGTGTTAAGGACTTTAAAATGGCTGTTTAGGAACATTACATAAATGCAAATTACATGAATATTAAATGTGGTTTAATTTTAACATGGTTTAGGTATGTATACCGCGTTTGCCATTTTTTTTTTTTTATTTTTTATAAATCATTTGCCCTTAACATTTATGAATAAGGTGTTGACATTCAACTCTACAGAATATTGTATTTTTAACGTATGCATTGTGTGTGTGTGTGTGTAAAGTGAAGTTGACACCAACGTTTCTATACAAATACCAAAAAAGGAAAACACATTACGCCCACATAATTTTACAACAAATAGTCACTTGGTTGGCTCTCCACATACTACCACAAAAAAGCCCACTTGTTGGGCGCTGTTGTTGCTACTTTTAGCCTGCAGCATCTTTCATGCGTACGTCGTGCGTACAATATTGTAAGTATGGGTAGGTATGTATGCATGCTTGTGCTTGTAAGCGCCTTCATCCATGCGTGACATCTATAAATATAGACTTCACATAAAAATCCTCGAGTCTTCTGCTTCATTTTCTCATCTATGAATTTGCTCCCGCCACCACCCCCCGAAACACCTTCTCCAGCAATAGCCATCCATCTATCCATAAGGAGGTAAGGTAATATATATATAGAAATACATAAAACGGATGAATGAATATATGGATCACAATATGCCACAGACAAGAGGATAGGCATAAGGCAACAATTAGACTGATTTTTTTATGATGAAGTTTATATTTAAATTTGTTGGTTAAACAAAGACGAATCTCATACGCAATAAAATTTGTTATACATACATAGATAATGAACCTGGATGCATATGCAGCATCTTCTTTTCTATGAAGAAGAAACGAAACATGCGTTTTTTTTTGTGAAATATGGCCAACGGCACAACAAAAGAAAGTGGGCGTAGCATGTTTTTGGCTTTTTTCAAACACAGACGCACACACCAATATTTTTATATATCCATAAAGTCTATTCAATTCTCTTGACAACAAAGGAGAATTGGAAAGAATAATAATGAATTCAGTATAAAATGAAATTTTAATGTGAGAATCTATTTTTAGTGTTGTTTGAAAAAAAAAATAAAATTGAATTATTTTTTCTAATAAAAATTTTCGAGTTCTTCGATAAAATCATTATTAATACTATTTACACTGGGGTGATGGTTTATTTGAGTTTTTTTTTTTTTTCAGAAAATTGACATATACGACATTTCCCATCTGAGAACATCGCCACGAGAGATAATTGGAAATTTCTTATTCCAAGAAAAAATATTATGGCCAGAAAAAAGTCACTGATGGCTTTTTGTCACTGATGAATAACTTATCTCCAGAAATTTTTTTCTTTCAATTGTGACATTTTTCCTTTAGAAAATATTTGTAATGTATTTTTAATTGTCCCATGTAATACTATTTTCAAGAAGATTGTCATTATTTCAATCTTCTTTTCTAAAAAAATCACTGGTGATATTTTTCCTCCAAAAGAAGTATCACTGGAGGCATATTCTCTTTAAAAATGTGAATATCTAATAAGAAAGCGGGGTCTGGTGACATTTTTTAATTGCCGTTTGTGATTTTTCTATCACAAAAAATTTAAAACCCACATTTTTTACATTTTTTGGGAAATTATCACTGTTTGGCATTTTTGCTTTGTAATATAATTATTAAATATATAATATTTTACATGTCCATTAAACACAACTGCTGGTGGTTAGTGGGAGGGTAGGTTTTTGACAAGAACAAGAAAAAAATCCTCTTGAAAATGTCAATAACACACATACGACACGACCAAGAACACACAAAACTTGAGGTCATAGCTTTTGAAAATTTTCTCGATACCCATAGAAAAGAGAAAGAGGAGACATAAAGGATTCCCCAACATGGTTTTCTTCTTCTATTTATAGTCATTTTCCATGGGAAAATTAAGTGAAAAAAATGAGTGTGTGTGAAAAAAATTACCTTTTTTGTTGTTGCTTTAAAAAAATACATATATTATTTGTGCAATTTGTTTTAATTCTTTTAGCACCATTAAGAAGTTTTTTTCTTTTCTTTTATTGTTGGGACATTTTCTTAAAATGTCGCTTTGTTTGTAAGTTGCAGCAATTTAAACTAACTAATATTATTTGTTTATAAAGACGGAATGTATGCTTTGTTCTTGTTGCTATGTGGTTTGCTTTTTTTCTTCTATAAATTTTCCAATATTTTCAAATTTTCTTTTTTTTTTAATTTTTCTAGAACAAATAAAAATGTATGTATATATAGGTTTTAATTTTTTGGTTCAACTACGGTTTTTATGCGAGAATTTTGTGTTAATAGACCAACGGTTCAGACAAGACTTGCAGCATAGTTAGAGAACAGAATTGCACAATCCCAATGTAGACGACGACGTTGCCGCCCGCCGTCGACGCCGTTGTTGTGTTTTTCTTCTTCCAATAATCTTAAACAGTGGCAGCAAAATGACAAGGGAATGTTTGCTTGCCCACCCCTCCCCTTTAAGTGATAGAGAGATGAAAAGAGAAAGGGAGAGTATTACAATTACATAAAAGAGCGTAGCGGAGAAAGTACAGGGATATCCCAGCAGCTGTCATTGCCTTTGGGCATTAGTACCAAAACAAAAAGAGAACCAATCTCTGAATATTACTCAAAAGGTTGGTGCATAAACATTTGCAGAGAATAAATAAAAAGGGATACCCTTGAGAAGAGAGTATTCAATAGAGTAGAAGAAGTTTTTTCAACACATACATTGTGAAGGGGAGAAGAAGTTTGGGGGGGAAATAGAATTAACCTGCGCAAAACAACTTCCATGGGTCGTCTTGTCAAAAATATAAAAGGGAGACAGAGAAAGAGAGATTATGAAAATATGTGCGGACAACCAATGGGGAAAAAGGACCGTAGGAATTGCGATGGAGATTAAACTGTTAGTTGGCAACCGATATTATGTTGAGGTCCTTTTAAAATACTTTACTGCCTATACTCACACACACATACATATATATCCATAAATCATGTTCTTTTTCCAACAGACAAATAATGTGCTCTCTCTACGAAACAATGTAATTGTTAAGATCTCTTTGACTAAATGTTAATATTACAATATGAAATATATAGTATATACTTGGGATGACACTCAGTCTGGTGGTATTTGCTTTGTTGTATTTATGTATGTATGAAAAAAGACACACACAAATTTGCAATCATCAAGAGGGGGGAAGGCTCTTAGATTTTTTTGGCAACATGAGTTACGCTCTACATTGAGAATGAATCAAAGAATCTAAAGACGCCTTAATGTCTGAAATACACAACAAACAATTTAAGGGTAATTTAGCTTGTATGATTGTTATGTATGTACAGAGACATACATAAAAAGAGGAGCATAAATTAATTGACACATCGATAAAACTCGTACGATTTTTTGGATAGCCAAAAAAAAAACAAGTAAAAAAACATTAAGTTCGGCCGGGCCAAACTTTTAATACCCTCCACCCTAGGGTAAAAGAACATTAGAAGAAATGTGGCAAAAAACATTAAAATGCCGAATATCGGGAGGTACCGTTATATAGGGGCTACACCAACACGTGCACCTATAATTACAATGTTTCGCCACACGAACTAGGACCCATTATGACCCACAAATACCAACTTTTACACAAATCAGTGAAAAAATGTGGCATAAATCATCAAAATACCGAATATCGGGAGGTACCGTTATATGGGGACTATACCAGAACGTGGACCTATACATGCAATGTTTTGCCACACGCTCAGGGACCCGTTGTGACCTACAAATACCAATTTTCAGACAAATCCGTGAAAAAATGTGGCATAAATCATCAAAATACCGAATATCGGTAGGTACCGTTATATGGGGGCTATACCAAAACGTGGACCTATACATGCAATGTTTTGCCACACGCTCAGGGACCCGTCATGACTTACAAATACCAATTTTCAGATAAATCCGTGAAAAAATGTGGCATAAATCATCAAAATACCGAATATCGGGAGGTACCGTTATATGGGGACTATACCAGAACGTGGACCGATATATCTCATTTTCAATACCAACCATCCTAGGGACAATACACACACTTGTGCCAAATTTCAAAGGTCTACGTCAAATAATGTGGGCTCTATCGTGATTTCAACAGACAGACAGACAGACAGACGGACAGACAGACAGACAGACGGACATCGCTAAATCGTCTTAGAATTTTATGCTGATTATGAATATATATACTTTATGGGGTCTACGAAGAATATTTAGAGGTGTTACAAACGGAATGACAAAGTTAATATACCCTCCTACCCATGGTGGAGGGTATAAAAAACGCAAAACGGAAAAACGTGGTACGCAATAAGACAAAGTACATAAAACAAAAAGACAAAAAAAAGAGGAAATGTGATTCTTGATATTTTATATTTTTTTAATGGAAAAGTGTACAGGGTGAGATGAAAAAACTGCAACCAACTTCAGACTGCTGTCATTTCTAAGCCACTCGTCCGACAGGTGTTAAATTTATTCCACTGACAGCTCATTATATTGTTTACAAGCGCACAAAAGAATTTTGGTGAGAATTTTTTCAGAAAAAAGTTATTTGTGATGGAATTCAAGCGTGATAACGTGATTTCTTTATACTTGGCTGGAAAACCACAAGTGGCTATCGTTAGAGCACACCAGCATTTAAATATGAATCCGTTGGACTATTGAGTCTGGAGTATTTTGGAAAGCAAGGTTGTCACTAAATGTTACCAAAGTGTCGATCACATCAAGCAAGCGCTTCGCCGGGAATGGACCAAAATACCGCAGCGCAACTTTGGCACTAAAAAAATACCAAAGTGTCGATCACCTCAAGTAAGTGCTTCGCCGGGAATTGACCAAAATACCGCAGAGCAGCATTCGGGCAGCGTGTGACGGTTTCATTGACATTTGAAGCCATAGTTTGTGCCAAAGTTGACCAATTCGAACAAATCTAAACTTATTTTAAAATTTGTTGCTATTTCCAACGTTTTTTGCTTTCATTCAATAAAATTTAAAAAAAATGTAAAAATTATGGCGTTTGACTTTGTTGCAGTTTTGTTTATCCCACCCTGTATGTCTAAATTTTTTTCAAAATTATTTGTTTGAGAAACAAATCAGAAATGGAGATCTATTTTCTATGCAGTGAAATTTGTCACGGAAAATTGCAGAAAATCGATATCGAAAATCGAACAATCGATATTTTTACCCCCCAAAAAAGTTGTTGTGTTCTCACCCCTATCAAATACAAAAACACATCTATTTTGTATTTTAAATACCCAAATAGAACATATAACATTGACCCTGTATATAAACGTTTTCAAAATCACATGAGAATATGCCCGCCTGCCCGTATCGAATAAAATTGAATTATTTTCAAATACACAATCACTTAAATACCTTGAATGACACTAATCTCAATACCACCACTTGGTTTACAAAATAAAAGGCAAAAAATACAAGAGTAAATAACAGCCACACTGTCCCACCCACCCCGCACTGCACCCAAAGGCTATGCATGAAAAAAATTTTATTTGCTTCAGAAATGCAACACACCTAAAATTTGCAATACATTGTCACTGTCAATAGCCAGCCAACAAAACATGTTGCAAGAAAGTGACAAACATAAACAAAAGTTAAGTAATTACCAAAATCATAGAGAAAAAATGCCGATTTGACATATTTTCAATAAAAATGACAATTGAAATGAAACATAACCTAAATAGGTCGATGGTCATTTTCCGGTATTTCCGTTATTTATATACTATCCATAATACATGAGGGTGATATATTAATATTATGTTCTTGCAAAATAGTCAGGCTTAATCCCATTATTGTTGTTTTTGTAAAAACAACGTTTGTTTGTTTGGGAGTAAGGCAGGCATATTATATTTACATGCCATACCCTAAGGTGGTTAGTAACCAGATTTGTTATTTGGTATTTAATATACCTGACTAGCAAATAAAACCATAAACAAGAAAAGCGTGTGTCTCTGCTACTAACTAATGTAACCTTTGGGCAATAAAACGTTGTCAAGGACATGTTGAAAAGACGTGCAACAGAAATCAAAGTACACAAAAACATAATATTCGACGAATATAAAGACAATTGCACGTGCCCACAAACAAAAGCCGTAATAGGAAACTATTATTGCTCAGCGGAAGTTATGAATAATTTGTCATATTTTTTTTAATTTGTTCAAATTGTTTGCATTACACGTACAAAGCATTGAAGGTATTGTAAATTGAAGCAAAAACAAAAACATTTCGTAATCATAATTTTAAATTAGGTTTACATACAAAAAAAAAGCCCAGAGTAGAGATTTTGTATGTAAACGCGGCTAACGCGGACTTTAGAGCCCTAATATCAGCTGATTACTTGACGACTGTTTAAAACTCTTACAATTATCTTCTAAACTTATTGTTTTATGAACTATATTTAATAGAAAAAACACAGAAAACAACTAAAAAAGCTTTAAGTTCGGCCGGGCCGTACTTTGAATACCTCCCTCTACCATTTGGAACGTATTTGTCGATTTTCAAAAAAATTAAATACGTTAAAAATTCTGTTAACATCTTAAAAACACCGAATGTAGCCGTTATATTAGGGTCTATACGACGAAGTAGACCTGCATAGACAACTTTTGTCATAAGCCACTACAATATTCAAATATGAAACTTAAAAAAAATCCGGTGAATAATGTAGCTAAAATCATCAAAATACGGAATATAGGGGCTATACGGAAACCTGGACCTGTATAGAGAATTTTCTGTCATAGCCTGAATATATATTCTTTGTGTGGTCTAAAATGTATATTTCGAGGTGTTACAAACGTCACATCGAATTAAAAATTCATACATGTAAACGTGCTTTAAGATTATCTTACCGTAGGGTTAACACAATCGAAAGTGAGCGGTATAGGTTTCACACAATCGAGGTAAAGAAACAGCCTAAAGAAGTTTTAACACATGAGCTTAGGCGAAGTTAGGATTTTTCTCTGAAAAATTCGTAGTTTTTAGCGAGTAAAACTAAATATGAAGCTTTATATTTATATAAAGCATATGTCCTTTACATTTCCAGACTAAAAAGCGCAATTGACTCTTTGACATATTTGATTGTAATATGTCAGCCCATTCTCATCCACAAACTCCCCTGCTTTGACCTTTGTGGTTGTTGTGTGCACAGCCGAGCTAGCGCTAGTTCTTAAAATAAAAATTTTAATGCGTATAGACTTGCGACTAGGACGACGACGATGTGACAGGCAAACTTGGTT